GTTAATCGCGCTAAATTGCCTCATTGGCAATCATTGGTGGTTGATTGTGCGTTTGCGCCAAAGTTTACCGGATGTGTTGTGTGTGTGTGTTTAATTTGATTCTCTGTGCAAGGGGTACAGCGTCGTTGCGGTCCCCAGGAGAATGCTTTCAGAATAATTATGGGAGCAGAATATGTTGTCGACATAGTTTGCCACTGAAACATTGAATTATTTCGTGTAGCACAGAAACCCTTTGTTTTCCGTACACGGTCGTTCACTCCAGGGATCGGCTAGTAAGAATTCTTATTAGCTCTGATTTTCATTTCTCTGTACAGTGCCGCTTTTTGTGACAGTAATGAAAAATATGATTGGGCTTACTGCACAGCTGCATGAACTGTCGCGAATAAATTTGTTTCAAATTATTTAAATACTACCAGCAGTGTTTAATTCTTCCATATAAACCACTTAAATTGCAGGATTTTGGATGTTGATGATGGCCCGAGGGCAAAGAGGTTAAGGATGGAAAACGACGAATATCTGAATAGAAGCGTTTGCAATACTATCACTGCTGCTTTTCCTACAGTTACTCCGCTGCCAGCATGTAAATTTTTGTAGTTTTTTTAAAGGATTCTTAAATGACTAGGGTGTAGCAATTTTAGCATTTGGTGCGTTTGTATGCAAGACGCATGCTTAAGCGAAAGCTCATTTTACGCTTGCTGGCGCGCTCAGTTTGGTTACCGAGTTAATTGGATGCTAGCAGCGTCTCGAACTAAACTTTTTTTGCCCGCACGCGAGATCTAAGCATGTTTGAAGGCTGAATTCCATATTGACGTTCTTGATAACGACAGGAGGGTGGATGAAAGAATTTTTTTTGTGCTTACCGTATGGAGAAGGCAGAAGGGGGGATGTTGGAAAGTACTCATTTTCGTGAAAAGATAACAGTGTTCTGTACTGGCGTGGTTACTTGGAAGCTTTGCATTTCGCAGGAATGAGAAGAATGCGTATATTATGTGTGTGGATGTGTATGTGGAGTATTTTTGTGTGGTGGAAGTGCATGGACACCGGAAGACTCTCATGCAAACATGTTTACGGCAAAGACCACAAATTTGTGTGTCTGCTACAAAAAGCAGTAGAAGATTAAAATCAGCTTTCACACATGCAGTTTATGCAACTCGCTGATTTCCTACATGCTTATTTACATATTTGCATGTGAGCGCAAGTATTGTACGTTGCATGTATGCATATGTGTTGCATATACATATTGTAAGTTACGTGTTTGTACACGTGTGTATGTGTACGTACATTACGCGTATGTTGGTGTAAGTGTACATACATATGTGTGCTTTACTCTCTGGCATGCGTCAGTATCAATTTACCATCGAAATGACTGAACGAATCGTAGAGGGATTGGTTGCCCCCGTACTTAAAGCTATCGTTTGATCTCGATTTTATGTCTGTGTTGAGGTTTCACGTAACTCACACCTTCTACAGGCAGTAATGGCTCGCCGAGCAGTGCACAGAGGAAGCAAATTGCTTGGACGCCGGAGGGAGCAGCGGCGCAGAAGTGTTTTCTGAATGGCGCTGCTGCGGTAACGGCCGCGACGAGTAACGGTAATTCGACGGGTTTCCACCTGGCGCAGTTGCTGTTGGCACAGCTGCAAGCGGCAGCGGCAGCGCGTGCTGATGGATCAGCTTCATCCATGCTATCCTGAACTGATATCCAGCACCCTCCTCATCTGTTGACATTTTCATCACCATTTTACTAGTAGTTATAGTTTACTCGCTCATTCACTCATTCACTCTCTGACTGTTGACATTCGATTTAGCTAAATATTGTTGTCATCTGCTGTTTACCAAACTTAGCCAACCAGGATGCTCTGGCGATTCCAAAACAAGCTATATAAATTTGTACAGCATCAAGGGGGTAGCAGTGATTCGTGAGCACTTCTGTTTGCTCTAGCAAGGGATTACAAATTTTCAAAAAAAAAA